AGTTACAGTGAGTTAATAATTATGTTTGACACATTGTGACTGCCGACAATTCAATTTTATGCTAATAGTAATAAATTTTGCGTACCTAATCGATTGGTTAAAAACGTTTAATGGATCAATTCATCTTGTGCTCACCGTTACCAACAAATAGCTTCCAAAATTAAACTTTAAACATAGAGCAGATGTAAACTTTGTCGCAGACAATTAATAAATGTATATATAAGCCAAGAAAGTGTCTGGGCATGTCGTGCTTATTAAGAGGATACTAAAAATTAGGGATGGATAACGTACGAGAATAGATTGCTGCGCGAGTCAACTTTGTTTTGGTAACCAAAGTGAATGAAACCCTATCTTGATTTTCAGTTATGTAAAACATAGCTGAAATTGCATAACGTGTGCAGCATTGCGTTTCATGCCACTTGAGATCGTCTTCGTCTTGATTTTTGATTTTTTTCTAAGATACTTATATCCAGGAAATCCTTTCGATTGGGAGAAAATATAAGAAATCACAGGATATTAAAATCACATCACTACCTTTATTGTAGAGTTTATGGTCACTAGTTACTTGAATTTAAAAATAATTGTATCTGTTATCTCCTTTAATCGATAAAAAAATTATTCGTTGCTATTATAAGTAATTTTAAAGTATTTTATATTTTTTTGTAGATAGAAATATTGTATATAGTGAGGATACTTACATACATAGTTTCCACACAGTTCCAAAATGTTTAAATCACCTGTGCCTCGAGGGCAACGACAGATAATTTCACATTGTGGTGGTTAAATTGAATTTTTTGAAAACGGAAACTTTTCATTTTTAAATCCTGTCTAAATACTGATGTTTATTATGACGACATTAATCATCCAATATTTGAAAGAAAAAATCCCTTTCAATTTACCTTCTCATTCAGTTTTATTAAAAGAAAGCGCTTCATATCATAATGTGACTGTTGAAAAATGTCCTCCATCAGTTTATTCTGAAAGCATCAATTTGAAGAAAAAAGCTTATTTTATCAAATTAAATCATTTTAACGATTAAAAAGTTTAGGTTAAATATTGTATTGTCGGCTTACATGGGATACTCACATTCTGAAAACCACACAGAAAGCTACTATGTCCCTGGGCAGATAGTAGAAGTAGAAGAATTTGCGATAAGAATTGGGGACTTAACCCTAAAATGACTCTATGATTATACACAAGTGTTATTAGACCCATGATAACCTATGGCTCAGTGACGTGGTGGACAAAGACGCAGCAAGTAGGAGCAATAAGGCTGCTAGGTAATACACAAAGGTTAGCATGCATGTGTATTACGGGGGCCATATAAACAACTCCTACTGCATCGTTGGAAGTCCTGCTGAATCTAACACCATTTCATATCTTTATACAGGGCGAAGCCAGATCAGTTATGCACAGATGTACGGTACTGACAACAGAAAGCTAATCTAGGAGCTAAAAGCCGATATTGTCATGGGGAAACCTATCGATGCAACAGCTACGATACAGCTACTTTAACAATAAGTTCACAATTAAGATATCAGGCGAGAAGACTGGAATAAAGGTATACCTATACAAGCTGCTGCTACCTGGTACACGGATGGCTTAAAAACGTCGAAGGGTATGGGAGCCGGCATATTAGGGACAAATCAAGAGATACATTTCCCGATAAGTCTATCTAAGGATCTGACAGTTTTCTAGGCGGAAATAACGGCAATCCATCATTGCGTGGAAGAAATAAAAAAAAGGAAATAACGTTCTGTTCAGTTGCTATCTTCACAGATAAGCAGGCAGCGCTTTTTTTATATAGCCCTTTTTGTATCCGAATTGTCGAATAAAGGCCTCTCCCATTTCTCGCCATTCATCCCTGTTGTGTGCTAGGCGTTTCCACATTGGTCCTGCGACTCTTTTGATATCGTCGCTCCAGCGCATTTGAGGTCTTCCTCTAGGTCTCTTCGCATCGTACGGTCGCCAGTTTCCGACTTCTTTGTTCCATCTATCATCTTCGAGACGTTCGTTGTGTCTAGCCCATTTCCATTTGAATTTAGCTGCTTGTTTCGCGGCGTCCTTTATTTTTGTTTTGTTCCGGATTGCTTCGTTCGTTTGCCGATCTATTAGTGAGATACCAAGCATCTGTCGTTCCATGGCTCGCTGAGTTTTTCGAATCTTGTCCAAGTTCTTTTTTGTGAATGTCCAGGTTTAAGCTCCGTAAGTGAGAACGGGAAGGATACAAGAATCGAACACTTTGGTTCGAAGGTTTTGGGGTATCTTTTTGTCTTTCAGTATGTATGAGAGTTTTCCAAATGCGGCCCATCCCATTCTTACTCGTCTGCTTATTTCGGTAGTTTGGTTTTCTTTGTTTACCTTGATATTCTGACCCAGATATGTGTATTCTTCTACATGTTCCACTTTTGTTCCTTGGATGGTTATCGTCGGTTGATCATCTTTATTCGACATTAGCTTAGTTTTACTCAGATTCAGTTTCAGTCCTTTTTTATGGATTCCGTATGAAGCTCATCGATCATCGTCTTCAGTTCTTTCCAGCTGTTGGCTATTAGTACTACGTCATCTGCATATCTTAGATGGTTTAAATACTTTCCGTTTATCGATAGTCCCTTCGTTTCCCAATTTAGTGATTTAAAGATGTCTTCAAGTGCGGCAGTAAATAGTTTTGTATATCTAGAATCTATTCTGCTGTTGACCAGTGCTTCCTCAATAGCCCATAATTCTATGCTGTCAAAAGCTTTCTCGTAGTCTATAAATGCTAAACAGATTGGTAAATTGTATTCTTTAACTTTTTCTATTAGGACCTTTAGTGTGTGAAGATGGTCTGTAGAACATGTACTGAACCCTTTTCTAAATCCGGCTTGCTCTACTGGTTGATATACATCGAACTTTGTTGTCAATCTATTTGTAATTAGTTTTGTGAATGTTTTATAAAGTTGTGATAGTAGTGATATTGGACGATAATTTTTCAGATCTGAATTGTCCTCTTTTTTGTGTATTAATATTGTGTTAGCAGTATTCCATTTCTTTGGTATGTTTCCTTCAAATAGGCATTTATTAAACGGTATTTTTAGATACCTGATGACTTCTTGTCCGCCTTCTTTCAACTTTTCTGCAATAATTCCATCACTACCCGGTGCTTTATTTCTTTTCAATTGTTTAATTGCATTTTCTATTTCTACTTCGCTTATTCGGGTATTACAGAATTTACGTTTGTTATTTGTCTTTTCAGATTTTGCTTTGAAGAGTCGGGTGGATCGTTTCTTGAGCGGTATAACTCAGTATAGAAGTTTTGAACTATGTTTGATATCTGAGCTTTGCTTGTTTCTAGTTGGCCTTGTTGATTTTTCATAGTTATAATATTTTTCTTTCCTAATTTCGGTTTGGTATATTTCAGACTTCAATTTTTCTCTATCACTCTTTCTACATGTTCTTGTTGATGTTTTTTAATATCGTTTTTTATCTGTTTTTGTATGGCTCGATTAAGTTCTTTGTATTCTGTGGTATTTCTTTTGTTTAGTGACAGGAGCTCTTTTCGTTGTTTCAGCTTATTCTTCGATTCTGCACTTTTTTGGATTTTTTGTTGTTATGGCGGGGTGCTACTTCTAAGCGCTTAGGCACTAAGGCAGCGCTTAAGGCACTAAATTCTGTAGAGGTCAATTCTAAGCTAGTATGGGATTGCGTGTTTACCCTAAATATACTAGGAGGCCGTAGTAACGTTACGGTAGCCTGGGTACCGGGGCATGAGGGTCATAAGGGCAATGAAAAAGCAGATGAAATGGCCAAACAAGGCTTATCAATACCATTTATTGGACCGGAACCCGTCTGCGGCGTTGCAAAGTCAGTAACAAGAACGGCTACAAAGAAGTGGGTAGCTCACAAATCTCTGGAATTGTGGAGAAATTCTCCAGGATAAAGGCAGGTGAAACAGTTCATTACAGAACATTTGTCAAAATTTACGGCAGATCTAATAAGCAAAGACAGGAAAACAGTCAAAGCCATAGTAGGTCTTCTAACAGGGCACTGTAAGCTGAATAGGCTCTTGAAGCTGATAAGATTATCAGATGATGACCTGTGCAGATTCTGCCATCTCGAAGAAGAAACAGCAGAGCACATTTTATGTCAGTGTAAATGAGCGGTTCTTTGTATTAGGAGAAGAAAATCCACCGGCAAATAGCTACATGGAAGGTACAGTCTCAAAGCTACTAAACTTTATGAAAAGAGTCAGGCTAGATAATGTTATCTAGGATTAGAGGACCAAAATCGATCTGAAAAGGTCGCAGTGGAATAGGCCAAAAGGCCACCTCTCGAAATCTATCTATTGTAAAATAGGTTTGCAAAAGTACTGTGATTTTAAGCCTGTAAACAAATTCCCTATGTTATCATTTTTACACGAATTAAAAAAAACAAAGTCCTGCAACCCTTAAAATACGAGTTAGCCGTTTTTTGCAAAAGGCCACCGGGTCTTTGTGTATAAGCAATAAACAATTAAAAAAACCGTTTGAAAAATTAAGAGTTTAAGTTTACTGCAAAAAAAAACAAAAAAAAAAAATAAAAACGATTCCTCTAAAAATATAAATAAAGATACATATAAATAAAATCTTTACTTTACTAACAAATTCTTTTCCTTTTCTTTCAAAAGATCCCAAAGTAATTTCAAGAGAAGGTCTTAATAAGGAATTATATCAAATGTCTCAAATAATTCTTCTATCTCATACATCTAAATGTTATGTTAAGATTTTAATACAAATTAAAATTGTGGATTTTAAAATCGCAAGCTTATTGGAATCAGAAATTGACAATAGGACGATTATTTTTAACTAGCAAATGTTAGACTGTTTTATGGTTTTTAAACGAAGCGTGCTTTAAATTGATCAACTCTTTCATGTTGTGATTGTTACTTGGATCAGTAAAATACTATACTGTTATGTGTAATGCATGCGTTGATGTGACCTAAAGAAAAACATCGATTATTTTCATATTATTTATTTTTCCAGGCTGAAAAGACTAGCGAAGTTATCACCCACAGCGAAGTTCACGAACAAGTAACCAGTACACAGACCACCAAACAGCAAGTATTTAGGCCAGTTGAACTTAGTAAAATCCCACTTCTCAGTACCGGAGGAAACGTAACAGGTCAGTATATAATGCCATTAACATCTATTTATAGTATAATTCAAGATATCGCTACCTTGGAAGAAGACCGTCATATGTCAAAATGTAACAATTTTTAGAAGTGACCATTTAAAAAATCAATGAATTATCATTAAGTATCATAAAACTTTACTCATAACTGCGAACATGCAAATATTTTGGCGTTAGTGTGTACTAGCCTGTTAAAAAGCTATTAGACCAGGGCAGATTTGTAAAAAATGGACTAAATTTGGATGTGACAACTTTAATAATATTATTTGACTTATTCTTTTTCTCAAATAGGTCGGGAACGTTAGTAAAAAATTAAAATAATTTAAAAATTCCGAAAAACATCGATTTTTTCTAGTTTCCTTATAACTTAAAAAAATTCGTAAAATAGTTTCGAAAGACAATTGAGAACACCTTTGAATAACTGTTCTGATGAGACCCATTAGGTCGAAATACGTATCAACAGATACAAAGGCGCTGTTTGCGTGAAATCAAATATTTGCTGTCTTTTTCACTTTAAAAAAATTCATTTTGGAGCAATATCGTAATGAAAAAATAGTGAATATTAAATTTTCTATAAGATACGGCTGTTTAAAAATGTTTAAATTTATTACCCTTGCTGAAAAATAGCAATAAATATAAAACATGAGGGGGAAACAAATCTTTTTTATTCAGTGTTTTTCAACCTCTTAGTTTTCACTTAGGACCTTCATAATTTGTGTAGAAAATGTTTATAATATAATAAAACAGCTGACCAAATTTCATTTAAATCGATTTAAAAGATTTGGCATAATTTGCAATCAAAATTTTTTTTAATTGAAATTTTTTAAAACCTTTCACAACAAAATCTAGGCCATATACAAGTATGCCAAAGTTATAAACAATAGAATGATAATCTTTCGAGCGCAAACAAAACGCTAAATGTTTGAGTTGTGAATTTCTTTTAGGTGTGTTTTTACAAATGTGTATTTGGCACAAAAATAACAGCAAAGATGGTATAGTGTAAAAACTAGAAAATACTGTCATTCTGTAGTAAATTATAGTTAAAAAATACTTCTCTACCTTTAAAAATGCTTCATAATACACTTTCTTCATCGTTGTTGACAGAAGTCAACTTGTATGAGTCTACCTCTAAATCCTCGGGACATTTTTCTAATCTGAAATAATTCCAATTCGATTTTTTTAGAACGTCATAAGTCAAAATTATTTGTAGTTGGTTGAGTTAACTCAAAACAATATTACAAATTATTTTAAACAACCTCACCTTGGTTGCAAGCCTGACACAACTCAAAATAATGCATTATTCTTCACAAAAAGTATTGTATTATTTTATCTTTGTTCATGAAGGACATCATATCTCATAATATGACAGTTGGTGCAAAAAATCGAACTAACTTTTCTTATTTATCTTATAATAATAACGACACTTCTACAATCTTAGGGCCATAAGCCTAAATTAACTTTATAACGTCATCACACAAAAAATATAGAAAAGATAAATCCTATTCACTTCACTAACAAGTCCATTTTTCACTTTTGTTGAGATATTTTTTTTTTCAAGGTAGCAATATAGTGTTTTTATATCCCTTACTTTTAAATCTGTTTGCAACTATAATTCCATTTCCATTGAGACAGATTATAGTTGTATAAATATTCAAAAGCCAAAGTTACAAAAGCCAATAGATATCTTGACTTGCACTACTTATACATACTTTTTTACTTACTTTGGTATTGATGGTATAAAACTTCATTCGGTTTTTATCTTAAATATATGACTCTGAAACTATTTTTTGTTGAACTATACTTTTTAATTATTAGATTTTTGGAAATTAACTATAAAATTAGAAATGTTATTTGACGTTTCAACTTAAGCTCGGAAATCGTTTTAAAAATACAAATTTTTGATTAAATAAAGTCCGCCTTAAGCGTGATCCACTTGGAACGGAGGCCACAGAGTAACTTAGACATTTACATTGCTTTTATTGGTCAAATTTGATGTAATATCTCCAAAAAATGCAAAAAAGTGGACTTATTTCAAATGTATTCTGAAGAATTTTAGGAAGATAATGAATCAACTATAAGTGTTGTTACTACACTTTATTGTTCCATCTAGTTAGAGAAATATTAATACAAAATATCGCTCCTTAGGTGAAAGGAAAAGTTAATTGACATAAAAAACGAATTATTGCCTTCAGTCGCATCATTTTCCTGGGTTTGACGAGTTGGCTGATTCCCTGAAAGGTTTCTAAAGTATCTATGATGAAGAGGAGGTATGTAAGGTTACAGAGACAACATGTCCTCCTTTTTTTTTTGAAATTCATTTGTCTCCTGGTTAGGTAAAGCTGATCCTACTATACAGTCAACAAGATTTGCGCTTTCACCGGTCTTCCGGGACGTGTTTTACTTGTCTCTTTCGAGATGTTCAAGGTTCCGAAACTCGAAATTTCAGTGAAAGGTTTATTTATTTTTATTTGAAAAGGCGCCACTTTTTTAAACCTTAACCACCGTGTCTTAGCCCATTGATTTGCCTACCTTCAGTGTCCTTTTTCCTTTTTGTGAATGATTCTTCGAGGAATTTTGTGCTCAGAAATTCTTCTCATTGTAGTTTTAAAACTTCAAACTAAGGCTTTTTTACTTTTGCAGTTTTAATGATGTTGTACCAGTCACCAGGCACATTGATAGTCCTATGTTTATTGGCTGGACTCTCTATTATGTGCAAACATATTAATCCTGCGAGGCTTCCGTGGCATCTTTTTTCAGTTCTGCGCGCGCTTGTTCTGCTCGCCTCTTTCTGTCTTTAAGTCGGCTGTCTGTTTCTCATCAGTTTCAGCACGGATTTTTTGAAATAACTTGCCACAGTTGCTTCAAGTGTCCTTTAAAGGAGGTTTAAAGTGCAAGTTAAATTTTTGGCTGAAGACTTGGTAGTAACATTGTTCTTTCCCAAGATTTCTTTTCTCACTTTCACATTTCTCTTTATGCAAATAATACATTTTTTAATATTAAAATCTGGACTTAAGTATATTTTGTTCTCACTGTACTTTCTTGTATGGTGGGTTTGGTAGCAGGGAAATAACTTTATATAGTCAACAACATCTCAGTTGTCAATTTTCCGCCACGCTGTTTTCCCCTTGCGTCAATAACGGCAGTAACTTCTGTTTTATTTAAACATCTGTATAATCTTCTCCAACTTACTTGTAACATGGCAAAATTGTAGGTGTTACAAACCCTCAGCTGATTATTATGTTCATTTTGAATAACGTACTAATAAATCTTTGATTTTGTGTTTCCTGATCCGTCTTTTGTCCAACGCCTACTGACAGTTAAGGACCTTAACTAAGTCCCGCAAACAACAGTTTTGTTTTAAGAAATCTGCCAGTTTCCAAGATGAATTAAAAAATGATTTCAATGTATCTTCAGAAGGGAACTTGTCACGGGTATTTACAGTCATATCCAGAGAGAAATATCTTCGTTTATTACTGCGATGTGTGTACTCTTTGCCGCTGTTACGATTCAACTTCCTTTTGTTAACTTTCCAGTTTTCAAAGTTCCTCAGGAGCTTTCTTTCTCGGGAAATCTCGTTCATTTGCCTAATCTGAATGTACAGGGGGAGAATGAGGTTGCTGTTAGCAGTATTCGAGAGGGGTACGATGTCACCTTAAAACAAATTAAATTGTAAAAAATATTTTCTGATACAAAAACATATCTATAAGACAGTCAAGGGAAACAAATAGACAAATCTTTCTGTTGGTAAATATTTTGCACTAGAACCAATTTATTTTACATATTTGATTTCATCGTCCGCTGTCATCGAGCAATAAAATATTCTTTTTTAGGCTTTAGGTGTAGTTAAAAACTTTCAGGAATTTAAAAACTTTTTTCTTTTTATGTAATGGGTTGAGTTAGATCATGAGAAATGTTTTCAGTTAGAAGGCTCTTTGGCGGACGCCTCCGTTTCATTTTGACAGATAGAACAGTCTTGTTATAGTCAGATGAAGTATCACCCTCTAAAAAAATATGTGACATTATATGTTTACTGCAATAGGTGCAACACGTGATACACTGTGATACACGTTTTAACCAATATCTTTGAGTAGAAATCCTAAACTAAACTATAACAACAGTGGATTTAACTGTGTCAAATTCAGCTAGCGAGCACTCTTCACATGCCATCCATCCAATGGCACTACAGCCCAAGCCGGGCCTTGGCCTCCTTCATTAAACCTCTCCAAACATCTCTATTTACTGCTGTTCTTTTCCATGAACGCGTTTTTAGGAGATTTTTGGCATCCTCATCTACCTCGTCTTCCCATCTCTTTTTTGGTCTTCCAACAGGTCTTTTTCCTTGCATTCTTGCGTTTAGTAATTTTCTGGGGATTCTGTTCTCATGCATGCGGGCCACATGCCCGGCCCATCGTAATCTCTGCAGTCTAGTGTATTGTGCTAGTGTTGGTTCAGTGTATTGTTCGTATATTTCGTTATTATATCTAATTCGCCAGTTGTTATTTTCCTTTATTGGACCCAGTATTCTACGTAATATTTTTCTTTCGAACACGTCTAATGCATTGGTAGATTTCTGTGTTATAACCCATGTTTCACACCCATAACTTACTATTGGTCGGATTATTGTTTTATATACCCGGAGTTTTGTTTTCCGGTATACATCTCGCGATTTAAATATGTGGCCCATCGCGAAATAGGCTTTGTTTGCCAGCATAAGCCTTCTATTTATTTCCGGTTCTTCTTCATTATTTTCGACCAGATCCATTCCTAAATACGTGAATCTATTCACGTATTCTATATCGTCTATAAATTGTTGTTGTTGCGCCTGTCTATTTGATCTGGTTTGTATGAGTAGTTTTGTTTTATTTGTATTTATTGTTAGCCCTACAACTTCTGAACTCTGTTTCAACTGAACGTAGGTTTCTTCTGCCGCAGTCTTTGTTCTGCTCATTATGTTTATGTCATCTGCGTATGCTGCTAATTGGGTAGATTTG